AAATCTAAAGGTTTTATGTGGAGAAATAGGCAGATGTAGTGTTTTGATTAAAATGCATGTAAAAATTACATTTTGTCAAAATATAACAAATAAATGTGTTATCACTATCATTTCAATGAACTGTCTGAAATATGATCCTAAATTTTTTGAAGCACTTTTTTGAGCATTAACGACCAAAAACCTGATTTTGAGGAAAATCACCTTGAAATGTTGAGATTTTTTCCCTGTGAGTTAGCAAAGTTTTGTTTCTTTTTAGATGGGAAATCTCAGTATTCAATTACTATTTGAGGTTTCTTTTTTCAAATAACATTTAAAAAAATCTTCATTAAAATAACACAAAATTAGGATTTAGACCAATCATTTATGTATTATTGTAACCAACGAGACAAATTAAATAATATCTCTGGATCTACTAATGATATCAGGATGATCTAAGTATCAAAATGTAGCTTTTAAAGCAGGAGTCTGACAACATAATTAGGTCATTTTGATCAAATTTGACTTAATCCTCATTTCGATGTGATGGGTCACATATAATTTCATTTATAAGGTTTGATCAAAACAGCTATAACTCAGTCCCTCTTCAAAATAAAATTAACTTCATTTCAAATCCTGGCATGAAACAGGGTTCCCACGGGTCCTTGAAATCCTTGAAAGTTTGTGAATAGGAAAAAATTCAAGGACCTGGAAAGTTTGTGAAAACAGCCAAAAATTACATTTGTCCTTGAAAGTCCTTGAATGATTTTTGAGGATTGAAGTTCTCTATTCACACGACTGATTTTCATCCTCCAGGAAAAAAAAAAACTTACATTTGTTGCGATGGATAACTCAGGATTACGGTAAACTGACGTGGCTTTCAACAAATACCATGAGCCATAGTCTTAGTTTTATCCAATCAGAGCAGAGCAGGGCGGGTCTTTCTGAGCCCAGGTGAAGCACCACAGCTCCTCCTGTCCTCAGTGTCTGGACATGTTCACATCCCCTCCTCCCAAACTGAGCAGCTGAAGCTCCAGGACATGATTACATGTTGTAGATATGAACGTAGGGTAAACATTTAATCCTTCTTTCATTGATTCTGACTCAACTTCTGTCTTCAGTTTTTCATTGAATTTACACATTAAACCTGTTTATTGGTAACAGTCTGCAGTAGCAGTAGGTAATCACCGTCGCATGTGGTTCTTGAAAGTGAGGATATTGGTACTGGAAAGTCCTTGAAAGGTCCTTGAATTTGATGTGAAACAAGGTGTGGGAACCCTGATGAAAGAAAGTGGGCAGGATGCATTTCTTCAAGAAACCTGGGACTTTCTGTATTTGGAGCTGTGTGTTACCTCATGTCTAAATGAGGTTTTTGGAAGCAATTTTTAGTGTCCGTTTTTTATTTTTGCAATCAGCTGCCACTTTTGGAAACTTTTTATATTTACCACCAGAATAAACAAAACATTAATGTTTGCAACCAAGAAGAGATTAAATATAATAATCTTTTGAGGCATATCCAAAGAACATTTTTGTGATTTTTTTTTTTTCTTATGGCAGTAGTGGGTGGGATGTGTTGTGAATCCACCTTGAGAAATGCATTTTTCAAAGGAAGATAAATCTGAAAGCAGTTCATTCAGGTTTTTAAAAAAGTTTTAGTTAAATTGCTCTTAAGTTAAATTAAATGTTAGAACCAGAAACTTAGCCGTTTTATATAAAAATGCTGGAAAGACTTGACAAATGATTTCAAGACTGCACTGCATTCTGTTGAAATAAATTTTAAATTATCTTTTAGTTTTACTGAATTTAACCCATTGTGTTTCATTGTTGGTATTCTGTTAATCAGGTGTCGTTTACGTTCGGGACACCAATCGTGGAGGGCTTTGTTTCTACCCGTACTTCAACAACGGCATCAATGGGATGTTCTGCCGAGTGGAGGCGGGTCAGACTGCAGCCATTGTGTTTCTGTTTGTCACTATGATTGTGTATCTGATTGGAGCCATTGTGTGCCTCAAGCTGTGGAGGCATGAAACTGCACGCAGGTACCGGGAGAGGTACGGCCAAGAGGTGAGAGCTCCCATAGATGTGTTTTTGAGCCAGATATTTACTGAATTTATTCATTAGTCCTTCTGCAGCCTGATAGGCTGCCTGTTCAAAAAACATTTTGAGTAAGAGCCTAATGGCTCAGATTAGCAAGTTCAAGTTCAGTTTATTCATAAATCTCCAAGTCCCAACATACGTTGTCTCGGGACACTGTAGATAAAAAGAACAATGTAAAGAAGAAAGCAGCAGATTGTGTTGAATCACTTCATCACAGTCTCCCATCCTGAGCAAACGGTGGAGAGGAAAAACTCCCTGCTAATCAGGAAGAAACCTCCAGCAGAACCAGGCTCAGGACAGGAGACCATCTGCCTCGACCGGTAAATTCCGTATTTTTCGGACTATAAGCCGCACCCCCAACATAAAAAAAAACAGTACACCCAAATTTTCCGTCAAAAAAGTGAATTCAACGTCAAAAC